CAATGGATTTTAATGCAAAACATACTTCTATTGTAGCAAAGAAAAAAGCCAAAGGGAGCAATATGCATTTTGCAGATTCTGCCAAACAAGGCAATGTTTGTTTATGTTTTAGAGAAAATAAATTAATGTGTTTTGTTTACATTTGCATGCATCTTTCTAGAACACATGTATACACAAAACACAGTTGTTGTGTTATTATTAATATTTTTATAGGGCCTTTTCCTGTTAGTCCATATGGCTTCCTCTAAAAGGCTTTACCTTTATGCCCTAAGAATGAATCCTGTAACCCTTTATAACCTACCATGGCCTGGGTTATCTAATAAAAACCTTGAAAAGCAATGACTTCTGCTGTGGATTTATGCTGTCACTGTATTTTATGGAGACTATGTATGTATGCATATATATATATAAATATGCATATGTGCATATAAGATAAACATGCATATATTACATATATAAGCCAGTGAAATAAATAAACATTCTATCTGAGAAACTTCTGAGAAATTACCCACTTTCACAATTTATAAATTTTGAGTTAAATTAAAGGTAAAATTCTGGTCCTCTTAACGCCGACTTTAATGATGCACTATAGAAATTTGTCTAAAATACATATTTGATTTAGGTTTTATTTGGGCCTGTTTTTACTGTACAATATAACAAAAAGTCTTCTCTGTTAAACCATTTTAACAGAACCCCAACAATGAATAATCAACTTTTTGTACCAATTATTTTTATATTGTTTTGTTGTTGTTGCTTATCCTGTGCAATGCATCCAGTCAGATGTAAGTGCTGGGAATTGAACTCTGGTCATTTGGAAGAGCAAGAAATGCTCTTAACTGCTGAGCCACCTCCCCAGCCACTATGACTTTCATTTCTGAGCTTATTTCGCATTTTCCTTCCTTCCACTTTTCCTTGCTTCTTTCTTTTCATCCCATTCTTTTGCTTTCCTGTCTTTTAAATAAGTACACAGAGAAAAAGGTTTATTTATACTTGAAGTGTGTATATATTTATGAAGGTGTATGTTAGTTATGGACATGTATATTTGTTTATAGCTTTAGTCACTGAGAGGGCTGTGGAATGACAATAGCCCACTGGTACTTATCACACCAACCACACATACCTTGGTTTTGAAATATACTTTACCGAAACAGACCAGATATCATTAGGGATCTCAAGCTGGGGCCAGTAGTGAGAAGAATGTGAGAAAGCACTCAAAACATAACAGAAGTCAGAAGGACAGTGGAGGGAACTGCTATTGCCTAGTTTAGGGAACAGCCTGGGAGTCCAACCAATAATGGAAAGAATGAAATTAATTTGAATATATGAGTTAATAGTGATATAAACACCTAAGGGCATGAAAGACAAAATTTTCTACTTAAAGACCTACTAATTCGTGTGGAAGAAATGAGAAGAAAATTACCATGGAACTATGACCACCATCTCCATCTCCATTGATTCCAAGAGAAGCTTTTCACTCCTGCCCTCATCTTTTGTAACTTTTTCCTAAGTCATCTGAATATCTAATCTTTATAGGAATTTTTTAAACATTATATACATATAATTTATGATGGAAATATGGAACACTGATTCGGCCACATTGCACTCAAATCAGTAGAAGTAATTCTCACTGTTTTTTTAATATATTACCTTTGTACAGAGATGACAGGCACAACAGTCTGATTCAGTCATTCCACAGTGTATACAGGTATAGAAATACACATTGCATACCATAAATGTATAATTATTATTTGCCAACTGCAATCACAGTATTTTTAGCATGTGTTTGTGTGTGGCTGGATTGCATGTGTGTATGTATGTTCTCATGAGTGTGGATACATGTAGGGGACACATGCATTTATGTGGAGGCCCTGGTTGATATTGGGAATCTTCCTTGATAGCCCTCCATCTTATTCTTTGCAATAGCATCTCTCAGTTGAGCCCACATGTTGCTGATAGGACTAGCTTAGCTAGACCCTGGGTCTCAAGAGACCCCATATCGGCAAGCAACCCCTATCTCCCAGGAAGTGTCTGTCTCTGCCTTCCAAACGCTGAAGTTATGTATAGGTCAGTCACCAGGCCCATACAGCATCTATATGGGTTTGGGGCATCTGAACTCTTGACTCTGCTCCTCATGTTTGCATAGTGCCATCTCTTCACCCTTAAAATGTTTTTGTTTGAGGCTAGAAAGTTGTCACACTGATCAAAAGAACTTGCTGCTCTTTTAGACGGCCAGAGTTCAGTTCCCAACACCTGTTTCCAGCAGCTAACAACTATTCCAGCTCCAGGTGATCTGACACCATACTCTGGCCTCCACTGGAACACATGGCATATACATACATAGACAGATATACATACACATAAAATAAAAACAAAATAAATCTTCTTAAAATACTTTTAAAGGAAGTCATGTAGATGTGCTAATTATCAAGCAACTGACTATCGTGATGTCACACTTGGTCTGTATCTCTGATGTTGCATTTTACTTGCACGACAGTTCTCTGAGTTGGTGCCTCCAATTATCTTTTACTGAAAGGCTAAATAACTGCTATAAATGCACAGGGAATTCAAACATACACAGTCTAATCCCAAAGTTGGCCTTGCTACTGTTCCAGAACACTGAAGGCCACCTTCTAGTCTTGTCTTCCAAGATCCATAAAAATTAGGTAGTTATATCATAGTCTTGGCTCTCCTGTTAATTTTCTGGCTTTAAAATTCTTGAGAATTTTTAAGTTCTGAGATAAACAATGGTTTTCCATCATATGATAGGACTTAATGATATAAACAGAAGCCATACTGGTATGTGTGACATGTCAGGGTTGCATTCTAAGCAGTGTACAGATGGCTATTACATTAGACCCTGAAGGCTCTAGCCCTAATACCTAGAAGTAGATTCCAGACTCATGAGAGCAGAATGTGTGTTTCTGTTGTTCATACCAGAATGTCCACATTACTAAGGATGATGCCAAATACAAAGAAGTAAGAGTTAAATATCTGCTGAAGGAGTAAATGAACTCTTGCATCATTTAGTAGCTATCAGTAAGTGCTGTATCCCTGTGCTATTAACCATAAACAAATTCCTCTATTACTTTGCCTCAGTTTCTTTACTTTGATGGGCTGGAGATGACAAAGCTTTTAGGATTATTGTGAAAATTAAACAAGCTGAGCATGGTGGTGCATGCTTTTAATCCCAGAATTCCAGAAGTAGAGGCAGACAGATCTCTGTGAGTTCGAGGCCAGCATGGTCTACACAGAGAATTGCAGGCCAACCAAAGCTACATAGTGAGACCCTGTCTAAGAAAAAAAGGATTTTTAGAAATTGAAATCTTCAGGCTAGAGAGATGGCTCAGCAGTTAAGAACACTGACTACTCTTGCGGAGAACATGGGTTTGAGTCTCAGCACCCACATCATGGCAATTAACAACGATTCATAATGAACTCCAGTTCCAGGGGGTCTGACATCTTCTTCTGACCTCCACAGGAATTGAACGGCATGGGTGCACTTACACACATGTGGGCAATACACTCATACACATAAACTAAAAATAACAAATAAAATATTTTTTAAAAAATCGAAACCTTCAAATAAAAAAGTGTTGATAGTGCTTAGGACAATTCCTGCCACACAATAAAAGTTGTCTATCAGTATTATTCCTATTATTTACCATAAGACACTAAAACCCTGAGAAAATCCATCCATACAGTCTTCAACAAGTCTCTAACTGATTTCTAGAAACTCATTCCCATCACTGACTCCTAAAGCATTTTCTCTTCTCTGAACCTGTATCTCATCATCTCTTGATTTTGTGAAATATCAATGGCATAGAGGCTACTGGGCTAAACCAGAATGAACAGAACTACTCTTGCAGTTTCCATTCATCTTAGGGAGCTTCCAATGCACTGGCATATTTCATGGGTTATTAAAAGTAGTTGCGTAAGGGACAGCCAACGGCTTTCACCCTTGGATGCATGTGTTTTCTTAACGGTCCATATTTCAAGCCTTGGTGGAGAAGTTTTGGTCAATTACATTTTTTCTTTTCCCAAAAGTTATTCATTAATTCCTAATTGAAGGCTTTCATTTATTTATTTCACAATTTGGGGGTTTAAATAAACCAAAATTATAAATGTTCAGTATTTTTACAATTTTGTATCCATCATATTACCATAGCTTTTCTTGTTTGACTTTAAAAAATATAATTTCTGAAGAAAAATGGCTCTTCTTAAAAATGTTTAATCTAATTTTACTAATAACTCACCCAAGCTTGGAATCTTTTTTTGCATTACTATATATCTTTTTAAAAATCTACCCACTTTTTTATCCAATTCAGAATATTTTTTGTATAGAGAAAATCTGAAACATTTCTTCACCTGAGAATTAATACATTTGGCTTTATCAATTTCAAGATAAATTATTTTATTTAACAAAGTTCCTATGTCTTTCAAAACTTAAGAATTGACATTTCTTCTCTTGGTCTGTGATTCATTACATTTTAATATAAACTTCCAAATTTGAAATTTGAATAGTAATGCAAATTTTGGGGGAGGGATATATGATAACTATTCATAATGTACTGGTACAGTGTGTTCCAGAAATTTCATTTTGCCTGTAGTATATCCTCTCCAGAAACTTCCAAGACCCTAGGCCAAAGTAAATTGCACAAAACCATTGTATTAGTTACTTCTCTGTGGCTGTGATAAAACACCATGACTATGTCAACATGTAGATGGAAGATTTTATTTGGGCTTTTGGTTCCAGGGAGATAAGTGTCTGTCATGGACACAAGACAGGGCAGCAGACAGCTAGAGCAGAAAGCTGAGCTCTTAACATCTTCAAGAACTCACAGGAAACAGAGGGAAAGTAGAAATAGGGTGTGGCTATGAACTCTCAGTGAACTGCTTCCTCCAGCAAGACCACACCTCCTAAACCTCAAAAACAGTGCCACCAACTGGAGCCAAGTATTCAAACACAAAGAGCCATGGGGGTCATTCTCATTTAAACCACCTTAGCCAAACTCACATTTGGTAGAAAATCTAGGATTCAAATCCATGTCAATTAACTTCAAAGAAAATATGTTGACATTTTACTTTTTAATCTTTCTTACAGAGAAAAACAGCTAATATTGCTCTTTCATTATGTCACTTCCATGTAAAAGCCATATTATATTCTCCCATTCCTAATAAGACCACTGTGAAGCAGAAATAGCAGGTGGTAGCAGGTGAGCCAGGACAGCAGGAATGTCATACCATGGGGCTGAATTCATCCTGCAGGTGATGCAGAGCCTTGTTATATCATTATAACTATCTTCCTGATAGGAAGTTCTGTGAAGGGCTGGCAGAGATAACCAATCTAGAAACAAGGTAAAGAAAAGGATCTGCATTAATCTAAGCACTAAGATAATAACACTCAACTAAGGAAGATTTAGTAAGATTAGGGAAGTTGGTTCAGTTGGTTGGTAGTGAAGGAAATCACCACAATCGAGTGACTCAGTAGATTTGGAAAGAGGGTGTCGTGAAAGATTTTCAGATTCCCAGTTTCATGTCTACATGGAGGTGATAGTGTCAGTACTTGACATATGGGCTGGGTAAGAAAATACTCTCTTCTACCTTCTCACCTTGTCTATTCACAGCCTTTTCCAGTTAGTTTGCTGATCTATCTTCTTCTAAAATCCTACTGAATATTCAAGACATAGTTGAAACACTGCCTTCCACAAAAACTTAGACCTTAGTTCAATGATCTGTGAATACCCTGATAGTTTCCAAAATCATTCAGTACTAAACCACATCTATTCTTTATACCTTTGTGCCCAGCAATTGAAATAGTTGATGTATAAATAAAACCAAATAATGTTAAATAGGTTGAAATAAAATCTAATGTTAGTAAGATTTTTGTCTTTTTGAAGCAGGGTCTCCCTGTACCCCCAGCTGTCCTGAAACTCACTATGTAGACCAGGCTGGCCTTGAACTCACAGAGATTCACCTGCCTCTGCCTCCTAAGTGCTGGAACTACAGGCGTGCGCCACCACGCCTGGCGATGTTAGTAATTTTTAATGTACTGTTGTTCTACTTTGATTTTCTGCTGTTGTGCTAAAACATTAACCAAAGGCAACATGGAAAGGAAAGGATATATTTCAGGTTAGAATTCCCAGGTCATAATCCATCACTGAAGGAAGTCAGGGCAGGAACTCAAGGCAGGAGCCTGGAGGCAGGAACTGAACAGAGACCGTGGAAGAATGTTGTTCACTAGCTTGCTTCCCCTGCCTTGCTCAGCTATCTTTCTTAAACAGCCCAGGCCCACGTGCCCAGGAATAGCACCACTCACAGTACGTTGGGCCCTCCTATATCAAGTACCAATTAAGAAAATGCCTCATAGGCAAAGCTACAGGTCAATCTGATGGAGACAAGTTCCCAATTGAGGTTCCCTCTTCCCAAGGGTCTCTAGCTTGTATCAAGTTGAGAAAACTAACTAGCACAAGTGTCTATCCCCAAATCGGGAGCACCCTGAAAGAAGGTACTGTACAGCTCTCACAGGCTTCTATCTTATAAGCTAGAATTCAACTTGATGCTTACTCAATGCTAATTAATGTCTCATTATTATTTGTGAAAAGACTGATATAAATGCCACTTCTTTTTTCCAGGCCCTCTATGATGTTTATCTTCAAGGATAGCATTCTAGCAGCGAACATGATCTTAGCAGATTTTGTTTATCTAAACATAGTCATAACCTCCTTCACTCAGATACACAGTGATCTTCTTGCCAACCTTCTATAGCCCTTGCATTTGTGTAAAGATGCTTTAGCACTTTCATAGCTTTTATTTCCATTTTTCATCATATGCTACAGAAAATTATATCTTCTGCCTAATTGTTTTGAAAAGCTGCTTGCCTGCCAGTTTTGGCAGAGCAAACTAGGAAATAGAGTCTGGCAACAAAAAGACACTAAACAACAAACAAAACTTAAGGTTTGCAAAGTAGTGATGCTCTTCAACCTGTTATATTGGGTGTGAAATTAGATCCTATCAGTGTCATACTCACCCTCGGAGCAAATGTCCTCTTGTGACAACTACATGCTGTGCTTCGAGCCAAATGATAGAATAAAATTTTCAACAATTATGTTTCTGGAGCAAAAACTCTCCAAAAGTATTAGCATAGTATTGACTGGTTTGTAGATAATCTCTAAGTATCTCTGAAAACATGTGACCACTACCAGCTAAAAGAATAGATGTTGTAGAATCATTGGCGGTAAAGCAAGTGTTCACTGAGATGATGGCAGAGCCTTCCAGGGCAGAGCATAGCACAATGCTATAGAGATGCTGCTTCTGAAAATTTCACGTAACCATTTAATAATAATAATAAAAATAATAATAATAATAATAATGAATATGAGACTATGTCTTCCAACTTTCTTCTTTCCTCTTTTCCCTTCTCTACCTCCTCAGTCTTATTTCTTTATTCTACCACCTTTTATTGACCATATATCAACTCTATGCCAAAAGCTATGTTTAAAACTAAAAGTGCAGTGGTGATCAAATCAGGAAAAGATGAAGGTGACAGAGAAGGGGGTTCCAGTACAGATGGTAAAGCCAACAGTCTTTAGGGTATGATGGACTGTATGTCTTCTTGCAAAATTCTTGTGTTCAAAGCTAATAACCAATATGAGAGTACTACGTACTTACATTTTTCAGGGGTAACTAAACCAGGAGGGATGAAACCTTAGAACTGGGATCAGTTCTCTTCTCAAAGAAGTCCAGTAAGAAGATGCCATCTATGAACCCAAAAGCTGACCCCAACAGTCACACATCCTTTACCATCCTGTTCACAGATGTTCCAGCCTTGAATATGAGAAAAACATTTGTTTTTGCATAAGCTACCTAGCAGGTAGCATTTTGTTTTCTCAGTCTAATGGCATAAGACACAGAGAAAGCCTTGAAAAGCTGTATCAGCCTCAGCATATCAGCAAAGGGCCTTCAATGGACATACTCCATAGACCTAAATCTCTGAATATGTTTAAAGGAGAAACCAGAGATGGGACAACTCTTTTTTGGGAAGACTAGCAAAAAGACCTAAAAGACAAGAATTCTTATTACTTTGGATTTACCCAAAATAAAATTTTGGTTGACGTAAGATAGGATTTGAAACTTTTACAAAGTTGTGACTCCCGATGAGTTTTAATGGGATAGATCTCCCTCACAACACTTTTCACAAGAGTAATATTGAACTTAGAATAAATTTCAAATACAGGACTCTGGGAAAGTAGAAATAATGTGAAGAAATGCTTGGAAAGGAAATGTGAAGATAGACTATGTGCATGTTTGTGTATATATGTGTATAGATACACAAATATCAATTGTGAAGGTCTGACCAGCATCCTAAGATCATATTTCTCAGAAAAAAAATAGACTTCCAAAATACATTAACAGTTATTAAAAAGAAACTTGTGGAAATGTCCTTTTAAATCAAGTGAAGCAGGTAGTTCTTCATTGCAAGACTCTTGTAGTCTCTAAGTGCCTCTGTGCATCAGGAAACTCTGGTAGACAGATGTAAAGATGCAGTGTATTTACCATAGAATGCTTTTTCTTTTGCTTTAGACTTGACATTAGCATGACATATTTGTTGTATATTTAAGAGTTGTACTTTAGGAAGGATAATTAACTTGTCCAAAGCCACCAGCCGATCTTTCAACCCTAGTCTACTGCTCTTTCTACTATCTGAAGATAGTTATCAACTTATTAACTCATTCTTTAACTTTGATACTCTTTTCTCCTATTTTTATCTCCTTGCTCTATCCAAAAGGAAAATGTTCCTACCATTGTCTGACTTTGCGATGGGTCCATCTACAAAGCGTGAAGACATCTTACATGAGCTTACAAGTAGAATTCAAAGTTGTTAAGTTTCATCTCAAAGTAATATCCAGTGAAAGCATGTGCTGGTACAAAACCTTCCATGTCTGACAAACAAAGCCATCAATTTGCACCCATGTTTTGGTAAAATTATTAATATAAGCTGCCATGTGCATGTATGTGTGCGTACTTGCATTCACGTGTATGTGTTGCTACAGTGGTGTTAACTTTTCTGCTGACGTATCATGACCTCATCCTCCAATGTCTGAAATAACTTACAAGAACATAGATTCATTTAATTTAATAACTGAATAACCATTCACTCACTAATTCACCCAAGAAATAATCAATGAATCTTACCACTTTTGTTTGTTTAATTTTTTTCACGAAAAGATCTCATGCTGTATTCAACTTGGCCATTCCTGCCCCTCTAAATACATAGAGCTTGACACCAGACTCCATTTGTCCCATGTTCCCAATATGGGTGTGAGGGAACTCCAATTATAGTCTTTCCTAGAGGACCAGACTGTTTCCACTTGTACTCATGTTGAGATAACTAGCCAGGTGATTTTGCTTTTTGTGCTGAGTTTTACCCAATGTATTTCATTGAAGGAGATAGGCCGCCCGTACTGAGATTTCATTGAAGACCCCAAGGCAAATTCAGAGCATCCTCTCCTCATACTGATGCAGGAAAATTTGCTGGTATAGGAAAGAATCAACAAGCCCTGTCTTAGTATGTATTCCTAACCAATAAATATATGATAAAGTGAAAAAATGGAATTAAATTATCTATATGGTGAGGACTTTGGAAATTGACTCTTCACACTGGGTCCCACATAAAATCTAGACTTTGTGCAAAGTGGCCAAAGTAGCAGAGACCATCCTCAGCCTCTCCCTGACCACCCTGCCTCATGCCGCCTCATGCTCTTGCCTCCACCCCATGGCACTGTCGTATCCTGCCTGCTTTCAGTATTTCCGCCCATTTATTATTATCTAAAATGATCTTTTTTCATTCTTTTCCTTCTTTGTCTCTTCTTTGTCTGACATATGTCCCAGATTTATGCATTTAAGGGTAGAAATTTTTGTTTTGTCTAAACATCTAGAATTCTATCAGTACATAGTAGCCAATCAGTCATATTTGCTGGATGGATGCAGGGATGGATGGATGGATGGATGGATGGATGGATGGATGGATGGATGAATAGCATGACTAAAAGACTTTTATTCTCCTACTTCATCTTACATTTATAATGACTTATTTTTGTGTTACTGAAATACTTAGTTTACACTAATCAATCCCCAAATTAAATAAAATTTCTCTGGAGATGCATTGTAAATTCAAAAGAAAATAGATTATCATGAGAAAATATATTTAATCTATGAAGATGAGGCCAAGTAAGAATATGAAAAACTATTATACACCTGTTTCATCCATCATCACAAAGAAGTACTTGATATGAATAAATACCGAAATGCAATACTCATATAAGAACCTTACTTTCATTTTATAAG